GGATGGGGACTCAGTCATCTCTCTGGGCAGCCTATTCCAATGCCTGACCACTCTTTCAGTGAAGAAATTTGTCTTAATATCTGATCTAAACCTGCTCTAATGCAACTTGAGGCCATTGCCTCTCGTCCTATCACTAGTTACCTGGGAGAAGAGACCAGCACCTTCTTCACTACAACCTCCTTTCAGGTAGTTGGAGAGAGCGATAAGGTGCCCCCTCAGCCTCCTCTTCTCCAAACTAAACAGTCCCAGCTCCCTCAAGCGCTCCTCGTAAGATTTGTTCTCTAGACTCCTCACCAGCCTCGTTGCCCTTCTCTGCACACGCTCCAGCAACTCAATGTGTTCTTTTAGAGAGGGGCCCAAAACTGAACACAGTATTCAAGGTGCGGCCTCACCAGTGCCGAGTACAGGGGCACGATCACCTCCCTACTCCTGCTGACCACACTATTCCGGATACAAGCCAGGATGCCGTTGGCCTTCTTGGCCACCTGGGCACACTGCTGGCTCATGTTCAGCCGGCTGTTGAGCAGCACCCCAAGGTCCTTTTCCGCTGGGCAGCTTTCTAGCCACTCCTCCCCAAGCCTGTACCGTTACATGGAGTTGTTGTGACCCAAGTGTAGGACCCGGCATTTGGTCTTGTTGAACTTCATACAGTTGGCCTCCACCCATCAATCCAGTCTGTCCAGATCCCTCTGCAGAGCTTTCCTACCCTCGAGCACATCGACACTTCCACCCAGCTTGGTGTCATCTGCAAACTTACTGAGGGAGCACTCAATCCCCTCATCCAGATCATTGATAAAGAAGTTAAACAAGACTGGACCCAAAACTGAGCCCTGGGGGACACCACTTGTGACCAGCCACCAGTTGGATTTAACTCCTTTCACCACCACTCTCTGCGCTCGGCCATTCAGGTAGTTCTTTATCCAGCGAAGAGTACACCCATCCAAACCATGGGCAGCTAGTTTCTCCAGGAGGATGCTGTGGGGAACAGTGTCAAAGGCCTTACTAAAGTCCAGGTAGGTGACATCCATAGCCTTTCCTTCATCCACTAGGCAAGTCACCTGGTCGTAGAAGGAGATGAGGTTGGTCCTGCAGGACCTGCCTTTCACAAACCCATGCTAGCTGGGCCTGATCCCCTGGTTATCCTTCACATGCCAAATGACCGCACTCAGGATGAATTGCTCCATAATCTTGCCTGGCACCGAGGTCAGGCTGACAGCCCTAAAGCTCCCAGGATCCTCCTTCCGGCCCTTCTTGTAGACGGGTGTTGCACTGATGATCAATAAATTTCTAGGCACATAAAGCTAATGTTGCTAGTTTTTCAATCTGTTATCAAGGCAGGCTTAGACATGACTGGCTGAGGAGCAGCCTCGAGGAGGCCATAGCAGCCAGAGGTACTAAACAGTAATATGGTCGTGAGCACATTGGAATGCACTGGGAGGAGTGTGGCCACCCAGACAAGGGCAGTTCTTGTCCGTCTGGACTCAGCACCAGTTTGGCCACATCTGGAGTAGTGTGTCCCAGTTGGGGCTCCCCATTTTGGAGGAATGGGGAGGAACTGCCACGTGGCCAGAGAAATTATGTAAAGATAGGCTTAGGGGTGTTGTGTGGAGAGGCTGAGAGACCTGGGCTTCTTTAGCCTGGTGAAGTGGAGGCTGAGGGAATAATAGCAGGAGCTCAGGAGACCTTGAGAATTTCATTTTGAGATGACAGCATTTTATTTTGGGTAGTGGGAAACAGCATGAGAAAGGACAGGCATCAGAAATTGCAGCTTTGGATATCCAGAGTGGACCGGACAATAAAGAAATGTCATTCTTTATCCTTTTATAGTGCTGTGGTGAAAAAGGTCACTGAGAGGGAGTCTGGATCAGCCCACGGATTGGTTTCTCAGGGAAGATCTGGCAAGAATGGAGAGACACCAGTATAGATGGGGACGTACAGGGGTGAGAGCAAGGTGGGGAATTACACTGGCTGTCTGCAGCCTGCAGGGAAACAGGCACAGACATGGGACAGCATAGAACTGGCTGTGTTGGAGCAGGCCAGCGGCGCTGGGAAGGCTGAAAGGCCATGGCAGAACTGAGGTATTTTTCTCCTTGAGTAAGGTAGGTTTCTCTGCAACTGAGGCCTAAGATGCAAATTGTCCTCATGGCAATGGGACCTCACTGCCTCCTTGCATCGACCCAGAGGAGGCCAGGAGGTGTCATATCATTGTCCTTCACTTGGCATCGCACTCCCCACAACCCCAGAAAATGCCCTGAGCCACGAGTCAGGGACAGGATCTCCCTTCCCTCAAGATGGGGTGAGGGCTTCTCCATCCTCCTTCATCAAAAAATCTCACAGTTTTCTCAGCATCAGAGTTGCCTACACTTTACCTTTGCCTCCCTGGAATCATGGCATTTGATTATCTTCTCTCAGGAGTCTGTGTTAGTAGTGGCCCTCAGTGAGACCCAATAATGCTTTAAGGTCCTTTGGGACTAATTTCTCCCTTTGACTTCTGGAAAGGTTTGTGCAACCTTCTCTCAGTATCTCAGGTTCATGGACTCAGCACCAAATGCACCCTAGGGCTCATTGCAATGCAGAAAGCCCTCTTGTGCCTTTCTCTACTTACACTCTCCAAGGGATATTGATCCAGGCTTTCTCCTAAGGAGCTAAGGCAAGCAAGGAAAAACAGTCCCTTGGGGTCTGTATGGACAACCTTGCTCCTCACTTCCCCAAGCCCACCAGTTCCCTCATCAGCCTCCTGGCACTTGCATCACTTCTTCTCACATCAGAGTTCTCCACTGAGCTCTGCAGCTGCCTGTTACAGCTCCTTTGCACCAGATCCCACCTGCTTTCCTTAGAGAACTGGGCTGCACACAGGCACAGAAAGGTTTCTCTTCTTTACCAACAAACATAAGTGAAACACAATGCAATTTAAACAACTTTTAAACTCTCTCCTCAGCTGTATGCTAAGTATGCAGCATATCATGTGGTGAACCTTTCACAGGACATTTTCATAAAAAAAAAGCTTTAGAGAGAGAGATAGTAAATGATGGATGTAAAATCAGTGAGGTGCTGACTAACGAGTTATCTTTCTGAATGATGGGGCAAGTTCCTAACTGCTTGAAGCTCAAAGCAGAAACCGCATAGTGGAGAGGTATCTGAATGACCAAATACCAAGTGAAGGAGGAAACCTGAGTCTAATGGGAAGGGCATAATTCCACATAGTGTGCTGAAGATATCCTTAGACATGACCATTGAGTCATGAGAGGTGGGAACTCCTGACTCATGAAGGAGATGAAATACTAGACCATGAATTGGTAATACAAGCACACAGAAAGGTCAATATTTATTCTACTGCACCTAGCACACTTGCTGGAAATTCCCATTTTGTCACTGTGGGAAAACACTGTCATTTCTAAAAAATACTCCAATGATTCAGCTGATGAAAATGTGCTTGTAGATTATTTTAAAACATAAAAAGTACTAATATTGTCAGTTATCTGACCATAAATAGGCAGTGCCATTTTTAGGGGTCCCATGGTACCTGGGGTGCGCAGCTGGGATTGGCATCCATCCCAGAGGACATGTGGAGACCAGAGTTCCACGCAAGCTGCAGGTGGAGGCTGGGCAGGGCTTCCCAAGTCATCTCCACTGGCATCAGATGTCTGTGCCCCTGTAGCTGAAGACATGTGCATCCACTGCCAGTTCTGGAAAATATTATGATTTTCCAAAAGAGGAAAATATTCCAAAATTTGAAAAAAATATGAAAAGTGTCTTGACACATCTCTTTGCTTTGTGTATTTGTCTTCTGTTCTTTTTACTTTCATTTTCATGTACATTAGCTGACATCTGACAGGTCTACAGTCATTAAAAGAAGATCTTCTGGTGTCTTGCACACAGCCCCATGCCCCCAGAAACTTCCCTGCCCAGGACTTGTCAGTCTTTGCCCACAGTGAGTCACACTGAGGTGTCGACCTCTCTTCTCTTGTGTAGGTATTGACTTCGATGGACACTTACAGCACGGGAGGATTCATGCCCCACAAACATTTGCTCTTCTCCAGTCAGAAAAAGGACCCAGCATCACAGGGTCATAAAGGAACTGAAGTTGAATGGACCTCAGGAATCTGATATTCATCCTGTGAGAAACAAAACTCGACCAAGTGGTTCAACGTTTGATTCAGCCCAAATTTCAAAAGCCCCAAGGACAGAGACTGCCCAACCTCTCTGGGTGACCTGTCCAGCACTTGGCTGAACCCCTAGGGAAAAATGTTTTCCTTCTTTTCCGGCAAAACCTCTCCCCTTTTCCCTTCCTCCAATTGTCTTTTTTCCTCCCACCACGCACCATGGTGAAGAGATGACACCTGTATTTGCTAGGACATCCTCATAGGAACCGAGAGGCTGCAATAAGGTCCCAGTTTGCCTCTCATGATCCCCAAGAAACCTCTTTGTGCCCTGTGCCACCTCTGTTCCTCCTGCTTGAGACAGCAAGGATGAGCAGGGGTGGCCATTGCCCCCCTTGCAGGCACGGAGTGCGGGACCAGGAGGGAATTGTCTGTGCAGCAAAATTCACACATAAATCAGTGGTCAGTGGCCAGTGCTGTAAATGACCAAACAGGGAGGCCACCAGTGAAAGCTCACTCAACTCCCTATCTCCAATACATCACCACATGCCCTCCTCCCCTCAGACCATGGAGAATTCCAACACAGCAGAATGAACTAACAGGGTTAAAATCTTCCAACTGTTCCTGACCCCAGCTTTGAAAGAAGAGCCCAACCTCCAGACACCAGCACTGAGAAAGTCACCTTTTATTACAGAAATGTGATACATAAGGCCACCTGCACCATCGAGCCAGACACATGTGCAAAGGCCTCTGGGTCAGACAGACTGGGTTCATGTCTCTGAGAAAGTTGAGTGGCTGCAGACATTCCTAGAGAAACAGGTTTATCACTGGCAAAATGTCCAAAGCACAGGAGGTTTCCCCAGATACACTGGAAATCTCTTGCAAAGAGACATGGACAACTCATTGTTGTTGAAATACTACTGATAGAATGAGCTTCTTCAGGGCGTCTTTCAGCTCCTGGTTCCTCATGCTGTAGATGAGGGGGTTCACTGCTGGAGGAACCACTGAGTACAGGACAGCTACCACCACATCCAAGGATGGGGATGAGATGGATGGGGGCTTCAGGTAGGAAACCATCACAGTGCTGATAAACAGGGAGACCACGGCCAGGTGAGGGAGGCATGTGGAAAAGGCTTTGGTTGTCCCTGCTCAGAGGGGATCCTCAGCACGGCCCTGAAGATCTGCACATAGGACATCACAATGAAAACAAAACAGCCAAAAGCTATAGAAAGACTGACCCCCAAGGACCACAACTTCCCTGAGGTAGGAGTGTGAGCAGGAGAGATTGAAAATCTGGGGGATTTCACAGAAGAACTGATTTATGACATTGCCTTGGCAGAGAGGAATAGAAAATGTATTGGCAGTGTGCAAGAGAGCGTAGAGAACAGCACTGCCCCAGGCAGCTGCTGCCATATGGACACAAGCTCTGCTGCCCATCATCAGTTCATAATGCAGAGGTTTGCAGATGGCAACATAACGGTCATAGGCCATGATGGTGAGAAGACAATACTCCCCCACAATCAAGAAGATCAAGAAAAAGAGCTGTACAGCACACCCTGCATAGGAAATGGCCCTGATGTCCCAGAGGGAATTGGCCATGGATTTGGGGACAGTGGTGGAGATGGAGCCCAGGTCGAGGAGGGAGAGGTTGAGGAGGAAGAAGTACATGGGGGTGTGGAGGCGGTGGTCACAGGCTATGGCAGTGATGATGAGGCCATTGCCCAGGAGTGCAGCCAGGTAGATGCCCAGGAAGAGCCAGAAGTGCAAGAGCTGCAGCTCCCACGTGTCTGCGAAAGCCAGGAGGAGGAAGTGGGTGATGGAGCTGCCATTGGTCATTTGCTTCCTCTACGCATGAGATCCTGTTCCTAGAGGAATAATCAGTTAAGGGTTAGGAGAGACTTCTCAGAGGAAATCAAAGCTTTGCTCCTAGAAGCTCACCCTGCTTCCTACACATCCCATTCCTTTCCCAGGAGCCCTTCCTTCAGCTCTGTGGCTGCAGCTCTGGTTGGTGCTGACAGAGTGTACCAGGAGGAGCAGGATCTCTTCCCACTGGCTGCCAAGGAGCCACCTCTGCTCTGCAGCGGTGGGTTCATGGGCACTGTGGGCCAAGGTCCAGACCTGGTGTGCAACTTTGCCAGAGCAACCCGCTCTTATTGCAGAAGGGATTTTCAGCATCTGCAATGCCAGTGCTAAGGAATGGGGATGGTAGAAGGCAGTCTCAGAGGTTTTGAGTTCTTAAAGCTTCTCTCTTTTCACCTTGGGGGTGTGTTTGCATATCAGAAACTCTCAACAATTCTGCTGCACTTGGGGAGAAGAGAGGGAGTCTTGTGAGGTGTAAAAATTGCTTGTGGCTTAGTGTAGAAGGAGGGCAGCTGGTCTGTCCCTCTGAGTTGTTCTGAGCTGCCCTGGGCTTATTCTTCATGAGGTGGATAATGAGCACACTCCTGTGTTATCCAGGAAAACAACCAGATGCTACAGAGAAGAGAGGGATCCAGTGCAGACTGCTAAATGTCTCACCCTTTTTCAGGTTCTCAGCAACTCACTTCTAGCCAAGGACATGGCTCATTTTACCAACCCGACAGGATTTCCTCCCCTGTAGCATCTCCGAGCTTCTCCATGGGGCTTGCACATAACAAAAGGGTGTGAGAGGACAGGTTGGCATTGTGGAGGGCAGCTCACAGCTTGGAAGGACAC